CCAGACGCCACACAGGCCAACAGGCAACTGCCCAAGGGGGGGTGAGGTAAATGGTCAAGGCAGCAGGTTCCTTTCCTCTTACAAAGTACAAGGCATACTGACCACCCTCGCCTCCTCACCCTGGATAATCTCTCTCCTTCTCAGAGGGAGAGCCCTCAGAAAACTGGGTTAGGAACCCCAGCTATTCAGGAAACAGGAAAGATAATCTAGAATAATGAACCACCACACTCTTAAAACAAAACACTTTATTTGATGCAGAAATTCTAAAAGTACAAAAACAACATTTTGCAAATGTCAGCTGTGATCTACTGTCACCTATTCAGTTATGTACAAATCGAAAAAGACATTGTTTTCCATGTAAAATAATGCTATATTCTGTCAGTGCTCACTATTCCACCAGACGCCACAAGGGACAAACTTAAAGATGAAACAAAGACAATGGCAATAACCACCGTGTTCCACAGGCTTTCCCCAAGAATGTGCCAACAGGGAGCTTCTGTAGTAGGACAGGAAAAAACTAACCCTGAAAACAGAAGTTACCTACTCTCTAAGTGAACACATTTGATTTTTACAAATTTTTTCTTTGTTCACACTCAAAAAACCACAAAAACACCCTTTTAAAAAAATAACAGATGATTACACATTAGTATAATCCAATGGTAATTTTTTTGTCGAATGAATAGAGCAGTCAGCTTTGTCTACATCACTTATGAACAAAAGATTGCTTCTTTGCATCTGAGTCTTATATGGCATAAACCAGTCATAATGGTTTGCTTTTGTTAAGTCTTCTGGATATGAAAACACAGTGCTTGGTCAATTCAGAGCCATGGCTGCAACTTTTTAGAACGTAAAAAGGCCCCGTGGGGAGTCTGTGGTCCCAGCTGAATTTTGGAAAGGAACCAAAGAGCAGGAGAGAAGACAACTAACCAAAATTCCCAAGAGGTCTTCATTCGACCTCTCTGCAATTTAGCCCTTAGCAACTACTGTCTATCTCACCAGTGGTCAAACTGAAGTCTGAACCATTTAATAATATTGTGAGTCATAAAGGTAATGTCTAGAGATAAAAAAAAAAATAAAACCCAAAATTGAGAGGGAGGAGTAGCTGCCACTCAGAAGGTAAGAGCTGGTCTTAAAAGAGTATCTTGAAGAAGTTCAGGAATTACATTAAACACATTAAGAATGTGCACCACCAAGAAAAAAACAATAACCAAAAAAATGGCAAACAATCCCCAAATGAATATAGGTGATACATCATTTTATAAAGTGCCATTAAATTTTTAAGTAGTAAGAGAAGCTGGGCACAAAAGAATTTCCTTGTAATCCCCACCCTGAGCTTGGCCTTCACAAAGCACCAATGTGAATAAGGTACCTCATTCTATTTGGGCAGTTAAACTGAGTGTGAAGCTGAGAAACAGAATAGCAGGGAAAATTACTAAGTCCATGAAAAATGGCTTAAGTAGGTGGGATTATTTATCATTGAAATAAAAGCACCAGGGGAATGACTTCACTATGGTTTTCAAACATAGGGAAGGTGACCAGCTGTTCTTTTTCCACTGCACACTGAACAAAAGAAGACTGGTTTGAATTTCTATAGGGAAGACGTACAAAGAACTATCTGATCAGCAGGATAGGTTACAGAATCTCCTCTGCTGAAAATCCAGGATCCCATCCACAGCCATATGTCTGAAATAATTCAGGCGCAGCCTTGTCTGTCATCGGGGAGCATGCTAGATAACCCAAACTTTCACCCACCCCCAAAACTCTGAAATCGGAATCAGAGCTATTGGCTTACAGTCAGACTTCCTTTTGTTTATTTTCACCCTGAGCCTGGAAAGGAGGAGATATAGCAAGGATGACCCAATACCCCATGAGGACTCCTAACTACTATCTCAATACCAAAAAAAAAAGCTTTTCTTGGTATATAATTTCACACCTCTGAACCAGAATCAATTCACAGGTCATTTAAAGCCGAAGACAATGCAAATACCTGGCTCTAGTACACACTCAATTCCTTGCCCTATTCCCCACAATGCCTGCTTTTCCTTATTCAGTCTTGGCCTAAGCTCAGAATTGCACATCATCTAAAACACTTTTTAAACCAAGAGCTATAATTACAAATAAGGTCCTTCAGGTTGTACAGCTTAAATGAAATTGTTTCAAATGTCATATTTTTAAATTGAGAGAAATCTGATTTTAAAATTAACAGCTGGCTTGCCTTTCTCTGAAAACACCACAAAATGTAAAGAAAGCAATCAAAACATTTCAAATACATTCACAATCATATCACATTTCTTTGGGGGAGCAATGAGGAAAGCAGCACTCTAGCTACTGACTGCATTTAGCAAGAGCATTTTCTGGTGGTACCAGAAATCTGTAATTACCATGCATACCTTTCATTTCAAATCTTATGAAGCACAGATTGGTGACAAACGGGCAGCTAGTGGGCCAAATCAGGTCCACCCATGTGTTCTGTTGGGTCTGAATGCATTTTAAAATGTTTTATAATTTAGTTGTCAATTCTAAACAAATCAGAATTTTTCATATAAAAACCCAAATGCTCAGCTTCTCCTGAAAGATGGGAAGATCAGGAAACATTGTGTGCCCAATTGGCTGGAGTACCTGCGGCCTGTAGGTAGGAGAGGAGCACTTCAGTTTACCATGGTCCCCACCATGCCCTGTCTCCCCAACACTGAGAGGACATGTCACTGCCATTTATAATCACACCTGGCCTGCTACACTGGTGCCCCCTAAAGACATACCATCTATTAAATAAGAGTAGCGGTTTTCACCAACAAATTAGAAGTCTAATGACCTTCACATCAGCTTGTCCACTTCTCTCCAATAAAGACATGAAGAGTAATTCCTATCTCTAAGAGAGCTGAATTAGTGTTCAGGCGGCTGCAGACTGCTGCAGGGTTTCTCTCTTTGGGGAGGAGGAGGTGTTATTCTCCAGGAAAATAGCTGTTTTTTCTAACTTGTTTTGTTTTGTTTTTTTAAGAAAAGATGCTCAACCCTTTGGGGGGGAGGACTCTGAAAAAAATCACATAAACCCACATTTTTAGAGATGGTTTTCCTGTTTGTTTACGCTTAAGTCAGGAAACCTGAGACTATAGAATGGTTAAAAAAACAAACACACATGTGGCTATGAAGTAGTAAGACTAAACTTTGACAAACATACCTGGACTTAAATTACTATACATTGGATTCCAAAGATGTCAGTGTTGCTAAAGACATAATTTTGAACTTCTGATCTGGCACTATCTTCAGTTACTGTTCATGTGTCAACCAAAAACTCTGTCTCATGATTTTATCGGCTGCCCATCTCCTGTTTGTCTCATAATATTATTACCTGGCTGAGTCACTGAGCTGGGCCTGGATCTGAATGACTTCTAGAGATCAGTGTGGTTCAAAGGCCCAGGACGTGGCCCTCTGGAGTACCTTATGCCGACAGTGTGGGTGGGCTGGTCTCTCCTAGGTGGTCCCTTGTAGTTGACCTGAGAAGAGCACACCTTGACTCGGGCTTTCTTTCACTTCTCTGATCACTGACTCTCTTGGCAAAGATGACCATGTCAGGTGCTAAGTCCTTTCTGTAGGGTATTGTGAGTTAAGATAAACAACCTATCTTCAACTACTTGCAGGCTTCTTGGTTACCTGGAACCTTGAACTTATACTTGTCTTCCTGTCCAGAGAACACCATCTAAATTAGCTCCACAAGCCATTGACTCTCGGGATCAAGGACTCGAGATCATCCCTGTGTTCCACTTGTTTCCTCAATGTCTAAAAGCCTGTGACTTACAGAACCTTTATCTGAAGTCTGGCTTATCATTTCCACTGTCCAGAACAATGTGAGTCAAAAAAAAAAATAGAGCTCTGCTTAAAATAGATGTTTTGCCTTAATCTACAAGGCAATTATTCCCATTCCCAGGATGAGATGGGGGGGAGGGGGAATAGTGAAACTAATAAGGCAAAACAAGGAAGTTGGACTTCTCAACTTATTCTGAGTTGGACATTCCCAGTGTACAACAGTTTGATTTTGTTGATCACAAATATTAGTGTTTCACAATAAGTGCCCAAACCTTAAATCCAAACTAAAACATTACCCGATATCTGGACTAGCACCTTTTCCCTTCCATTTTCATAAGTGGGTTCACCTAGCAAGCTCTCTGCCCACATTCGGGATGCTCCCGACCCCATCTTCCATGCTGTCACTGGGGCCACTTTCTCACAGACGCCTCATTTCACAAGCAAAGCTGAATATCTGTCCTAAAAGTGGCCCTTAATAGTTCCTTTGGAGCATACACCATTTGGTCTCAATAGAAAGCTCTCTCATAACGTTCCAATGAATTTTCTTATGCTGGCAAGTTTGAACTGCCCGAGCTCCTTCACAGGCATGCCGAGGATGGGATGGCAGGACGGTCACATGTGGGCAGGAGCTCTGTGCTCGTCCTCTATTTCACGGTGACAAACATGGAACGTCTCTTCTCCAACAACAAGCCTGGTTTTATGGGGGAGGCAGTTCTACTGCTCACTTGTCTCTCCCTCAGAGCAGCTGCAGGAAACTCGATGCCAGAGAACAGACAATCACGTTCTTCTCCCAAGAAGCTGCCAGCTGCCTTTACAGAGCAGGAAGTGTGGCATTTGCATCAAAAATATACACAAACCTCTTCTTTCCAGGAGCATGTAATCTTTCCCTTCCCCACCTGCCAAGCATGTGCTTGGAAAGAGAAGTCCTGCCCCATCCCACCTCCCACCCTCCTCGGGATGATTCTCAGCGTCCCCTTTAATATCAGTCCTTTTTTGCTGGAGTCAAAAACATGGTCCCTGGTATAAATGCTAAGAAAACAGGGTGCCAAATCCAACAGCATCTATGAAAAGGGTGGCAAAGGATGCTCACACTCCCGGAGGGCACAGGGAGGAGAAGGGAACTATTTTCCCTTTGGAAACAAATTCTATAGGGAAGTCATTCATAAAAACAGAACATTTTCGTTTTCTTTTTATAGAAAATTATTTCCTTCTAAGCTCCAAATAGCTGTTTTCGGTAGGAAGGAGCACGAGAGATAAATCTTTCATTGGGTGAGTACAAAAGAAACACAAAATGAAACATGAGTCACAGGCTGGGTTGTGGGGAGAACACTTTCAGATTCAAGAACTTAATGATTTCAGGTCCCATGTCTTCTTTAGACAATATTTGAAGAGCACATTCATCTTTGGAATAGTCCCCTCCTTTTCACCTTCTTAAAAAGAGGTCTGTCATTAGTCAAAACCAGTTCAGCAGATTAACTGGCCACCACCTCCACACACTGCTGTATTTCAGTGGATTCTGACCCCGAATATTCTGGACACAGTTTTTTAGACCAGAAGCCAAATGATGCATGAACCTCAACTTCCAGTACTAGAGTCCAGTTGTGTATCGGTCTCTCGAAAATAAAATTCCAGGCACCACCATCTGAGATACAGCGCAGTAAATGTAGCCCAGGAAAGCTGGACAGGCAGATCGGGCCCTCGCATGAGACCCAGAGGTGGTCCTGGGAGCTGAGCTCGGGTGCCTTTGCATGTTGACCAGCCCATCTCAGACAAAAGACAGTCATCCTGGCCCTGCAGCCCCCACCTCAGCCAGCCATGCCACCCACAAATACATGAAGACTCATTTTATAAAAGGTGATTATATATTCAGTCACCTTCGTGACCTTTTAAACAACCATGGCATCACAAGTTCCACACCTAAAGTGGACAGGAGTATCATCTCTAATGACATGGGTTCCAGAGAGACTGACACTTGATTTCTGTGGTTGTGAAGGTATTAAAAGTGCTTTTTCTACAAAGCATTTCAAATCAAAGTAGCCAACAATGAATAGGCAAAGTCTGCAGAGATAAATTAAGTCTGAACGATCAGTGCAGGTATTTTCCTGTTTCTTTTTATATGTTTCCTCTCTACCTCCCAGGACTGGCTCTAACCCAAGGTCTGACCTACCATGGCCAGCTGTTGTCAGATCTTATGGACATGCCTTTCCGAGCTCCATGTGGTTTTAGAAAATTGGAGACTTTGCCAAGGTATCTGTTAGAGGAGAAGGGCAAGGAGAACAAGTACTGGCACAAATTCCACTCCAACCATCCTCAGCTCCGAGTGGGCTACACAACCAGAGAGATGAGCTGGGGAACCAGAGAGCGGCGGCAGCTAAAGTGGCAATGCTTAGACTCCTCCGCTTTGTTACAAAGGGGCGACTGCGTGGAGTTCACCAGTGTAGCTGCAGCAACCGGGTTCTGCTTTATACACCCCCGAGGCGAAGAGCTTGGACGGAAGGGCAGGAGGGTCCTCCTCACCTAAGGAAAGAAGAGAGAGCAGAGACACAGGTCATTACACCTCACTGGGCTGGGCACTCAGACCAGAACATGGCAGGACCGGGGTTTGGACTACAGGCTTTGGGCAAGTGAGGCAGGCATGCCAACCAGCTCAAGCTGCTAAGAGGTCCCAGTTCCCTTGTTGAGAGTCAAGGGTTTGCATGCATGACTCCAGCTAGTCACAGGCACAGTGAGGATGACAGGCAATCCTGCAGGGGCTCCCTGGGGCAATGGGGCCTCCCACTGGGCTCTGCTTGCAGCCTGTGCTGAGCTGTGGGGCCAATACTGCACCCCTGAACCCAGGTTCAACAGATGTGGCTTTAAAGACATGGGGATAGTGAACCGTGCAAGTCCCCACGAAGACCCAGGCCCACGGACGCTCCTCTAACACTGCATTTTGGGATTCAGATGTTTTGGGAGTTTAGGAAGGTGGCATAGTGCACATGTTGTCTATTACATGACATGGAGCTGGGCAGGTCACCGTAACTTACAATCAGCTCCCACATGTGAACATTCCCATTACCTGGGATCAACTGAAACTATCAACGCAGTTGTGTTACTTCCCATCAGGTTTCACTGCCGAACAGGTCTGCGCCCAAACTAGGAACACACTTTCACGGGTTTCGGCATTAGGAGCAAACGCTGGGCCTGCATGGGATCGGACCCACTGGCACTTGGGGCCCCCGCCTTACCCAGGCCCGAGGAGGACGACACGCTCTCGGTCAGCGAGGACGTTTCCGTTTGGTCCGCCGAGAGCCCTTCCATGAGGGGCAGAGACAGCTCGGAGGAGGGCACGGAGGAGTCGTAGATACCCGAGTCCCGCGGCATGCCCGAGGCGCCCACGGCCTTCCCGGCGCGCAGCAGGGGCTGCAGGACCGGGGCGCCCATGGCCTCCGCGGCCTCGTCGGGGCCCATCTGCTGCCCCTCTGGTGATCCGGGGGGCGGTACCTCAGCCTTGAGGTCACTTTCGGGACCCAGTTTGCACATGACGTCATTCAGCACCAGGCCCGAGTCGAACTTCTCCAGGACTGGCTCCTGGCAGCGGAGCGGGGGAGGCTGCGAGGGCACCAACTGCTTCTCAAACCAGTCGGGCTCCTCGTCGATGAACTGGTGCATGTTGCAGATGGCCACGTACAGGGACCGGCCCGCCTTGCTCCGGAAGTAGTTCCTCCTGCTGACGTGTCCGAGCTCCGGGAGGCCATGGTCTCGCGGGAATCCGTGGTCTCGCGGAAGGCCGTGGGCTCGCGAGTGCAGGTGGGAGCAGAGCTGGGGCAGGTGGTCCATGAGCTTGTACTTGGTGCTCAGTTCCAGGACGCCAGGAACGTCTCCCTCGCAGGAATAGTCGAAGTAGACGGCGATGAACTTGCTGAGCGCCGCCGAGGAGCTCTGCTTGGCCTGGCGGAGCTTTTCGGCGATGGCGGCCACGGCCACCAGGAAGAGCTCCCCTTTCCCCGAGCCGCGGCCGCCGCCTCTGTGCTTGTAGTTCTTCTTGTCCACGAAGTACTTCATGCCTTTGGAACAGACCACGATGATGAACTGGGACTCGTGGATCTTCTGGATGACCCATTCTCTCTGCCCTTCTCGGCAGAGGCTGAAGTCTTCCCACAGGTCCAGAGCCACCTGGAAAAACAGGACCCGCTCTCACTCACACAGCCTGGAGTGTGGCGCAAGGATTGTTACAAAAGGGCACCTCGGCCTGAGCTGGTTTAGCTCAGTGGATAGAGCGCCGGCCTGCGAACTGAAGGGTCCCGGGTTCGATTCCAATCACGGGCACATGCCAGGGTTGCGGACTTGATCCCCAGTGGAGGGTGTGCAGGAGGCAGTCAGTCAATGATTCTCTCTCATCATTGATGTTTCTATCTCTCTCTCCCTCTCCCTTTCTCTCTGAAATCAATAAAAATATATTTTAAAAAAGAAAAGAAAAAAAGGGCACATCATCTCTCCCTTAGTCATTATTAGCAGCTCTAATGATGATTACCTGGCCTGGAGGAACAGCTAACAGTCCATGGGTGACAGTCACACAGCAGACCGTCTGCATCAGGGGTCCTCAAACTTTTTAAACAGGGAGCCAGTTCACTGTCCCTCAGACCGTTGGAGGGCCGGACTATAGTTTAAAAAAAAACTATGAACAAATTCCTATGCATACTGCACATATCTTATTTTGAAGTAAAAAAACAAAACGGGAACAAATACAATATTTGTATTTGCATGTGGCCCGCGGGCCGTAGTTTGAGGACCCCTGACTGAGATGTTTAACAATGTGAAATAACATGGACCACATGGCTGTTTAAAATTGCAGTTTACATAAAGCTGCTAATTGTGTAAAAATTATTAAAATGAGACAGAAAGTAATTCCGACCTATTCAAAATGCAAAACTGTGTGTATGACTTCATCTATGCAGAAAAAGACTGGAAGAAAATACACCAAATATTAACCATCATTCCTCGTTTCTCCAAGTTGAGATTACAGGCCATTTTTTGTCATATTTTTCTAGTTTCCAAATTTTCTACAGTATTACACAAAATTGGGGTTTGTCTATATCTGAAGACTGTGTGGCACCAGCTAGTTTGCTGTTTGTTGCTTTTCAGCACATGTGCTAATCTGCCAACCTCCACTTTCCTGCATTAGGAAACCAGGCCAGCCTTGTAAATACGTTTTTTGACACTAGGGGGCAGCCTCACCACATGGAGATTCTGAGAAACCCGCCAGCAGGCACAAATAACCCAACTACATAATTACTGTACAATTCTTGCATTTGCAAGAAATATGTCCATGAGAGCTTCAAACTTCGCTCTAAGATTAACACTATATCATTATAGAATAGCTACATATGAATAGCTTAACTCAGAAGAACAGGTATCAAACCAGAGCAGACCATTTGAGCCCTTGATGCATTATTTTCCCTTCTTAGCAAAGCTTCCCCCAAATTGTCAAACCTGCTATTTTTCTTGCCCTGATCTCTTTGACCTTCCACTGCTCTGTCGAGTGACCACCTCTCCCCACCGCCACTACATGCTCCCAGGGCAGCTGCCATTTGTCCCCATACGACTTCCTGCCAGGTGGGTGCCACTCACAGCTTCTGAGCAGGGGTGTGTGGGGTCAGAACTGAGCATTAGAAAACTTTTAGTGCTGGTGATGAGTAGAAGACACTGGAAGAAGAGTGCGAGGCTGACCCCAATTTGGAAGCCAGGCACTGCTGGAGGGCAGCTACCACCTAAGGAGGCCTGGAGGCAGGGACAAGGTGGCCAGGAGAGGGTGCGGAGCATGTGCCCCCCCAAAGGTAAGAGACTTGAGGTTCCTTACCTCGCAGCCACAGAAGTCCTGGAGGAAGTAGGCGAAACACTGGACAACGTTCATGTGATTCTGGCCATCTTTACTGGAATAGCAGAGGAAGACCTTCGGCCGCGGCCGCAACCTCTCTCTGGGGAGTGCCGTGGTGTAGGTGGAGGACTCAGAACTCTCTTCATCTAAATGTGAATATATATTTTCTAAATCGGAAAAGAAGATAAGATTGATAGCTATGAGCAACACTTTGTCCTGTTCCCTAAGACTGGGGGCCTAACGTTATCTTCAAGAAGCAAGAGGCGACACTTCCACACAGAGTACAGGAGCTTTATGGCCTCCCAGATGCCCACCTGGAGGGACCAAGCACTCGGGCCCGGCCCCTCGGTGGGGACCACCACCCACATACCTTGTTGCTTCTTGCGGCACATCACAGTGAAGAGCGTTGCGAATGCCGATATGACGACCAGCGGCACAGTAATGGCAACAGCCCTGATGGGCCCAGCCCACGGGGAATGCACTGGGGAATTCCAAAGGGAAGGCTTTTAAACTCAAGCAGCATAACAGCTTCAAAGAGAGATTGTGTTTTCTTTTGCAGTATAAGCCACATAACAGGCTCCAGGATCCCTTGACCACCTTCTCTAGTATTGGTTTGGTAATTTTAAAAAGGATTCGTTTTGAAGAAACAATTCAACAGTTAGTCTGCTAACTGTAAATACCTTTGAGTGAGAATTTTGCCTAAGGAAACCTCCCACCACCGCTTTTCTTCCGAGGACAATTGACTATTTATTTAGTTCCAGAAGACACACACCGCACTGCCTTTGATCTCCCAGGCATCCACATTAGAGTGGAGGGAAGTCAGATGAGATGGAACAGCCCTTACGAGAGAGGCGCTCAAGTTTTTGTTGTGTTTTGTTTTTGTAAACCATCAGGTACAGACACCTTGGTGTACTATAGTCTAGAGCCAAAGTTTCCAACAAAAAAGTCTTACCTGGCTTTAAAGCATAATGCACCACTTTTCTTGTTGTATTAGTGTCATCCACCAGCTGCAAAACAGAGGATGCTATATTATTATTTTAAGTGATAGCATCTCAACAGATTTCATGCTTTTGTCATCTGTGGGCAGTGTGGGGCGGGAGGAAGGAGAACGGGGTGAGGGGAGGGCTGCCGCCTGTGATCCTTCACCAGCCGAGGTAGACACTAGTGGTCAGACACATCTCTGCTCTACCGAGTCAAGAGTCGTGACTCCCTCATGAATCAAAAGGTTGTTTGTTCATTGATGAAACCAGCTAGTGATTCCACGTTCTAACAGTTTTCAACTGAAATGGCATCTTACCACTGATCTTACTGAATGCTTTAAGAGGGTGTGTCTGCTCAAAACCACATATTGCTACAGAGTAATGCAAGAACTAAGTGTTTCTACCAAAATGTTAAGACATGTTGGTTGTCTCTGAATAGAAAGGCTATGGACAATTTTTAATATCTCTTCCTATTTTTCTTTTACTCCTGTTTTTGTAGTATGTCTGATACTGGAAAAGAAATTACAAAAAGAAAATTTAAAAATTCTATCATTTACATGCTCTTTTAAGCGGAACTTAGAACTCATGTAAATTTATACAGAACAAGGTCAGCAGAAACCTAGAAAAGTATAGGCAGATGTAATAGGCATAGCTTTTGCTTTGCTGTTTTATTACTAAAACAAGACACTTTAGAAGCTAAAGTTTTAAAAATATACCTTGGTAAGGAAGAAGGAACATAGAAATTTTAAATCATGGTTATGTGGACTATATGGTCACATAAAAATATTTATTTTGAAATATTTAATGAAAAAATCAAAGATCAATTTCATGTAAACTTTTTAAAAAGCATGTTAAGGACCATGTAAAAATATAACCGCACACCTTCAATGGCTTGAAATTTAATGTTGTAAGCAGTTGGGGTTTTAAATGAACTGGACTCATTCTGTAGAATTAATAGTAGGGCTTTCCTGAGTTATACATACCTCAATTATATAATCACCTGGAGATACATTTTGAAGGAGGCAACTGGTTGTCTCTGTATTTTGCTCCTGTAAAGAAACAATACTTTTAAAACTTGCTTCTTGGATAAAGGTCATCAGGACCTCTCTCTTCCCCCAGAACTGAAGATCTCATATAAACTTTTTTATTTTTTTTCAGGAGCCATCAATCAGATCAGAAAGCAACTGTGCTTATCTGCCACATTATCTGAACTTCACTTTGATAAAAGGCCTAGGAGAGCCTGGGACCCCTGTCATATTGTACACTCAGCAGGAATATTTTATTTGAAAACAAAGAAACTATGCAGTTAGACTTTTACTTAATAAAATGGTGGGGAGAGAAATTACCTGCCCGTGTTTGTGTTTCTTTTATTTGCCATAATTTTAACTTGAGCAGAAGGTCAAAGGAGGTGATAGCCAGCAGGAAAGCAAAACTGAACACACAGAGGAGCATGCCCAGGAAGACGCTGGGGTCTTCCACCGCCACTAACCACCTCTCGGGGCTCCCAGGGGCGACCCCGCAGTCCTATGAACTTCCATGACACGTTTCCCACTCCCTCTGACCGACTCCAGTATAAGAACTTGGTTACTGAGTTTCTACTTAACCTTGGCCTATGTGTAAAAAATCAGTAGCCACTGAAATGCTAGTGCATGGCTCCTACATGTCCTTTTTCCACTTAGAGCTGTGTGGCCTCAGCTTCCCCATCTGTACGGTGGGGATGACAGCAGCCTCTTTCACAGGGTGGTAAGGTTTCCATGAGCATAAAGCTTGGTGGTTGCCACACAGTGAGCACCTGATTAATATCTGAAATACAGCCAAAACCGGTTTGGCTCGGTGGATGGAGCGTCGGCCTGCGGACTGAAAGGTCCCAGGTTCGATTCCAGTCAAGGGCATGTGCCTGGGTTGCGGGCACATCCCCAGTGGGAGATGTGCGGGAGGCAGCTGATCGATGTTTCTCTCTCATCGATGTTTCTGACTCTCTGTCTCTCTCCCTTCCTCTCTGTGAAAGATCAATAAAATATATTTAAAAAATATATATATATCTGAAATACAGAACAAACTAGAAATGCTTCATTACTTTGGTTCCTTGGTAAAATCCTTACCAGGCTCCATCACCACCGGGATAGCTGGGGTGCAGGTAACTGGGGAGTGAGGGATGACGGCAAAATGGTCTGCGACATACCCAGTGATAATATCCTGGAATATCTACCAACTGCTGAGAGTCAGCAACACCCAGTGCTCATGCTGAACCATCCAAATTCCAGGGCTCGGGGGTCACCTTTAAAACACGGAGTGTTCCTTTATGTACACCTAGTGGCCCACCTGTTTACAGGTCTTTCGCTTGAAGGGTCCCTCATGCTTGAGTTTGTAATGAAGAGAGAAGAAACGGAAGCCAAAGGTGTGTGGCGCGTGGTTGAAGGTCACCTGCATATCCGAACCGTGCTGGGTGATATTCAGGTTCCGAGGCTTCCAGACTGGGAGGAGAAAGGACCCAAGTGAGCACCCCAAGGCCACCCGACACCACCGGGGTGGCAACACGTTGACAAGAACAGCTATACTTACAGGGTTTGCAGGCCAGGTTGTCCGGCTGTAACAACAGGTCACAGGCTGTTAATAGAGATAATATTTTTGGTTATAGGACAGTTTGACATTTTTCTTGCCCAACAATTCAATAAATATAAATAGGTGGCACTGGGTGCTGCTGGGAAGAGTATTAAATACATCGATTCAACACTGATTTTCAGTGCAGTTCAGCTGTATCTTACGAAAACTTAAAGTGTACAATATAAAAATATTAATGCAGTTCACTTTATGCCAAACAAATGAAAACAGTACAAAGTCACCCAGATTTTAAAAGCTTGCCAAGCGTTACGTAGTTTCAAGGCCAGCAGCCAAGGGCAGCAGGAGTGTTCATGCTGCTGCCACATGGAGCCTGCTTTCGCTGTAAACAGAAATGATGCTGGCCCTGGCCCTCTGTGGAGGTGTTTGGGCACAGGAGATCGAAGTGAGCCTGTTAACTGTCTCAGGCTATCTTAACCTTCACTAGCATTCTAATTTAAAATCCTTTTGACTGAGTCTAAAAGTGACATCAGGCACTTACTAAGGAGTAGTAGCATCCATGCTGAAAACCAGGCATCAAAACCAATACTTTGAAATGATTTCAATGCAATAAAAACACAGTGAGAGAGGCCAAATAGCTAGTTCAATATGCCATGTTGCTAACCCAGGGAGAACCCTCTGGAAAAGGTCGATAAAATTCCAAGAAAACCAAAGGCAGCCTCAAGGTCACTGTACTGAAATAGAGAGAAACACATCTCCTGCCTCCACCTCAGATCCAAATAGACACACTAATTCCAATGGGAACAATTAATCTTAAATTATGCCAAGTTTGCCCAGCTGGTGTGGCTCAGTGGTTGACTGAGCCATGCACCAGGTCACCTGATCAGGGCACATGCCCAGGTTGTGGGCTCGATTCCCAGTGGGGGGGTTAGGGGGGAGGGGTGAGAAGGCAGCTAGTCAATGTTTCTCTCTCATCAATGTTTCTATCTCTCTATCCCTCTCCCTTCCTCTCTGAAATCAATAAAAATCATACTTGCCTGGACAGCGTGGTTCAGTGGTTGAGTATCAACCTATAAACCAGGAGGTCATGGTTCAATTCCCCGTCAGGGCACATGCCCAGGTGTGGGCTTGATCCCCAGTGTGGGGCATACAGGAGGCAGCCAATCAATGATTCTCTCATCATTGATGTTTCAATCTCTTTCTCCCTCTCTCTTCCTCTCTCTGAAATCAATAAAAATATATTTTAAAAAATTATGCTAGGTTTGATTTAGGCAAGTTTTCATGAACACATGCTTTGGATCCTCCCGCTGGTTGTTATGTATGAGGTATCAAGAGATATTGTTAGGTGCTAATGGTCTTTTCCCAATGAAATCTTATTTAATTAAGAAAATGAGCCTGGCGGGTGTGGCTCAGTGGTTGAGTATTGACCTATGAATCGGTTGTGGTTTGATTCCCAGTCAGGGCACATGCCTGAGTTACGGCTTGATCCCCATCAATGATTCTCTCTCATCTTTGATGTTTCTCTCTCTCTCTCACTCTCCCTTCCTCTGTGAAATCAATAAAAAAAAAAAAGTTTTTAAAAAGAAAATGAGGCCAATTATTATAAAATAGAGGCCCAGTGCACAAATTCGTGCACGGGTGGGGTCCCTCGACCTGGCCGGCATTCGAGGCCTATTGGGGGCTGGCCAGCGGAGGTGGGACCCCAGGAGGTTGGCTGGCCGGCCCCCCAATTGGGGCCTATTGGGGGGATCGGCCGGCAGGGGTAGGCACCGTGGGAGGTTGGCCGGTGGGGGGGAGGGGCCGCAGGC